GCCAGGGAGGTTGCAGGGGAAGAGAAGATGGGTCAACTTCTAAACAGAAAGGTAGGCAAACCTGTGCCCCACCCAGGCCTTGTCTATTCTTTCTTGCCTATGGCAGCCCTTTGGATGTTTACAATGACGGACTCCTGAGTCTTCCCTTCTTCAGCCTGCCCTGACCAGCCCAACCATTTTTTGCAGGACATATACACCAGCCCTTTCCCTCCTGCACATGGCTACCCTCCTGTGGATATGCTCCATAAATTAAGGTATAGTTTGATCCACACAAATGACAGAAGAAATGTCATCTCCCTTTTCCTAAACATTGCACTTCTATTAATGAGATCTAAGATAAATTAGGTGATTAAGCAGTCACAGTCCACCCTTCCAAACCCAGCTCCCTATCTCCTGACACTGCCAGTTCAAACGTATCACCTTCACCCTGGATGAGAGCAGATGATTCTGTATAATGAACCTAAAAGTAGAAACTCATTTTTTCAGGCTCGGCCCATTTTTGACTTTGGCCATCCCTCAGCATCACGGTTGCCACTAACATAATTGGTAGGACTGATTCCACTTACACGAGTTCCCTAGAGTGGTCAGATTCATAGAGACAGAAAGCAGAGCGGTGGTTGCCAGGGACTAGGGGAGGAAGAAATGGAGAGTTAGTGTTCAATGGGTGCAGAGTTTCAGTTTGGGATGGTGAAAAGGTTCTGAGATGGCTGGTAGTGATAGCTGTAAACGGTGGGAAAGTACTTAATGCCACTGAACTGTGTGTGCACTTACAAATGGATAAGAGGTTAAATTTCATGTTATGTGTCCTTTACTATAGTTTTTCTTTTCTTTTTTTTTTTTTTGAGACAGAATCTTACTTTATTGCTCTCGATAGAGTGCTGGGGCATCATAGCTCACAGCAACCTCCAATTCCTGGGCTTAGGTGATTCTCTTGCCTCAGCCTCCCGAGTAGCTGGGACTATAGGTGCCCGTCACAACACTTGGCTATGTTTTGTTGCAGTTTGGCTGGGGCTGATTTTGAATCCGCCACATTCGATATATGGGGCCAGTGCCCTACTCACTGAGCCACAGGTGCCGACCTTACTATAGTTTTTTAAAAAGTAATCAGCAAACCCTCTGGATTCACATCTCAGGAAAACAGCTTTTCCTCCCCTCCCCTCCCCTCCCCTCCCCAAGGTGGCTGGATTGCTACCCTCACAGCCTCTGGTCCTCCAGAAGGCACCCTGAGCTGACTCTCAAAGGAAAGGTATACCCGGTGCTTCCAAAAGGCTCCTGTGCATACAAACTCCAAGAGGACATGGAAACTGTGTAAAACCATTAGCTTCCATGACATGATTTCTGTTAAGCATCTCTACTGCCCTGTCATATGAACTTGCAAAAATGTCATCTATACTCCCTAACTCTTAGTCCTTGCCAGCCATTTAGTCCCCATTTGGTGGTGCCTATGACCCACTGTCCAAATCGCCCCTGCCCTGTCACCAGTGGTGCCCTAAATATCAAGGCCAGTAGACGCTTTCCGTCCTTCTCTAACAGTTGCTCTTGCTGCCTTTGACCCTGTTGAGCACTTGCTTCCTTCAAGTCCTCTCCTCCTGGGATGAGCAACTCTCCACTGTCCAGTCCTTCCGCTTCCTCCCCCGACTCCTTCTTCTCCATCTCACACATAGACTCTTTTCCAAGGTTCCCAGCCTGGACCTACTGGTTTTGTTACTTCTAACAAAACATCCCTGTTTAATCTCATCCTTTCTAATGATAACTCAAAAAACCAAAAAAAATTACTCTCAGGCCCCCAGCCTCTCCTAAGCATGACCCATATGCTCAGCTATCTTCTGTTTCTCCCCACCTATCCCAAACTGGACTCCTCGTCTTCATCCCAGACCTGTTCTTCCCTGCATGCCCTAACTCAACCAGAGGCACAACCATCTATGAGCTTTATGAGCCCTAAGCTGGAGGCCTCCTGGACTCCTCCTCTAAGCGATGACATATTCTAAATTATTTCTCAAAGCATCCCCTCCTCTCAGACACTTCTTTTGCACTCAGGCCCCCCTCTCTCAATCCATCTCCTAACAGCCTCCTAAATGGCCTCCCTGCTTGTGGCCTAGCCCCCACACCCACCGTGCACAAACCTACCATCCACAATGCCCCAGAGAAGGCAAGCAGGTTCCTCCCAACATTATAGCTCCCCCTGCCCCAGAATAAAATCTCAGCTCCTAACAGGGGCCTCTCAGACTCCGTGTTCTGGTCTCCCTCTAACCCACTTTCCACAGAGCAGTCAAAATGGTATATAAAAGGCCACAGTTCACTTAAACTCCCCTCCCCCATTTCTGCTTCAAAGCCTTTGCTCCCACCCTCCTCCCTGCTGGGAATGCTAATCCCCACCTCCCCCACACTGACAGTCACCTGGGTAACTCCTACTTCTCTGTGCAGATTCAGCTCAAGGGTTGCCTTCCTGGGAGAACCTGCCAGCCTCTGGCCTGAGTTGCCCTCCATCCTCCATCCGCACGTTACCATTGCTTCTAGAGCTTGCCTCTGTAGTTACTCAGGAGTGTCCTCCATGAGCTGTGAGCTTCCTGAAATGCTACTTTTCTTTCCTCTGGCCCCAGAGCCTAGCATGGCGCCTAGTACACAGAAGATACTGAATAAATGTTGAGTAAATATTTGAATAGCTGAACGAAATGATCCGTGTCTAACTAAGGCTTAGCCTCCAACCCCCAGCCCTGTCCAGCCTAGAGCCTGGCACACAGTAGGTGCTGAGTAAAGATCGACTGTATTCTATTTTCTGAATTGATCTGATTTAAGGTAAAGTCTGGGGTAGTTTGAGGTATTATAGGGTGAGGGAGTAGGGTCTGGATGCGGGAAACTTAGCCAGCAGGGAAGCCTGGGGCGCACCGCAGTAGGGAAAGAGGGCAATGGGGATGTCTGAAGAGGTAGGAAAGGAACTCTGTCCCTAGTCCGCTGCTCCTCCGCGCCCCAGGTCACCAAGCGTCGGGCCTGGCTAACGCGCCCCCAGCTCGGAAGCCGGAGACCCTTCCCCCTCGCCCTGGTGGGGAGACCCCCCGGCTCGCACGTTCGGCCCTGAGCGCTCAGCGCTGGGAGGCGTGTGTGTCGCTTTAAAAGCTCCCTCCCGGCGTGCCGGGCCGGCCCCTTCCCTGCTAGCGCCGAGGCGAGCGGAGCCGAGCGAGCCGGGCGGCCTTTGAG